ACACACACACACACACACACACACACACACACACACACACACACACAGAGTCATTTAAAATCCTGAATTAGAAGATAAAAATTATTTCAATTTATTTATTAATTTTTTTTGGTGAGGCAGTTGAGGTTAAGTGACTTGCCCAAAGTCACATAGCTAGTGAGTGTTATGTGTCTGAGGTCGGATTTAAACTCAGGTCCTCCTGACTCCAGGGCTGGTGCTCTATCCACTGCACTGCTTAGCTGTCCCAGAAATTCTGTTTCAGATCCCAACATGCATCCCTTCAGATTGAGAGAAATGATTATGTCTCTCTTCTGTTAATAACCATGTGTTAAGATGAAGATTTTTTTCTATTTCCTCATTCAGAAATAACCCCCTGTAGGTTAATAAAGCTAGTCTTTGAAGGACATTACTGACCTTGCCCCGCCCCACCCCTGCAAATTTACCCTACTTAGACCATCTTGTCTAGGTGGAATTGTTACTTCACCCAATTAGAAAACCTTGCAAAGAGAATCTGAGCTAGGTGAATTTTGGCCCACTGTGATATGCTGAGGTTTGAGTGGGGGTAGGTACATCCTTTGTCCAGATTGCCCAGGGTTGGAGGCAGTCTGGGAGTAAGAGTGACATAATCAGAGTCATGGCCCACAGCCCCACCCCTCATTATAATATTCATTCTCTTATTAATTGTTTCCCAATTAGAGTTGATTGCTGGCTGTCAGGAATACCCACTCTTACAAGGATATATAAGTATCAAAAGGCCTCTAGGAGGGGTCTTTGGTTTATGAGAGACAGTCAGATGACCATCCTTTTATTAACTGTTTGCTAGCCATAATTAATAAAATAATTAATTACACAGAAGTCATGTCTCTCAGACTTTTTTATATGTCACAGAATTTAATCCCTGACCTGGGCCCTTTCTGACCTCTACCCAGATCTCTACCTCTGTCCGCTTACGTTTTTGTTTACTTTGCATGTATCTTGCATTAATTGATCTACATCTAGTAGAATGTGTGTTCCTTAAGGGTTAAAAGTTATTTAATATTTATCTTTTTATCTGCAGTGACTTACACATAGTAGGAGTTTGACAAACGCTTGCAGAATTGAATTGAAGAAAGTATAGCAAGGGTCAGGGGGTGGGGAGTTGGAAATGAAGCTTTGCTCACAAGGAATGAACCTGTGACCTCACTCTCTGTGTTCAGCACGGCAGAATTAGAGCACAAAGCTTCAAGCGTATTCTGAAAAATCTTAAGATTGTTTAGTGTAGGACAGACAATGTGACCTAACGCGCTTGTTTTTTCCCCCTTCTCCCTCACAGGCGGACGGTCCCTTCAGTTCCGGGAGTCCTTCCAAAGGATTCTTCTCCCGAGGCCCTCAGCATCGGCCCTCCAGCCCCGTGTCAGCCCCCGTGAGGGCCAGGAATAGCCCAGGCTCTCCCAAAACGGTGTTCCCCTTCCCCTACCAGGAGTCCCCTCCCAGATCTCCGCGTCGCATGAGCTTCAGCGGCATCTTTCGCTCCTCGTCCAAAGAGTCCTCCCCGAACTCCAACCCATCTACCTCACCTGGGGGAATCAAGTTTTTTTCCCGCTCGAGAAAAAGTAAGATATTGATCCTATGGTTTCAGGTGGGTTCAGGGCTGTGGGTAAAACCATCTCCTGGCTTTGTTTACTAAAGAAAGGCCCATGGTGATGTGGATGTATCTGGTGACCACTCTATGCGGATGACGTAGTAACTAGCGGTGACACAGGGGTCTGCCTTTCTGGTGTGGTAAGAACAACAAAAACCTCGTGGCAATAGCAATGGTTTTCAGCTAATGTTTCTTGCCTTCTTTAGCTTCATACCGATAGGCTATATGTATCCCTTATGATACAAGCTCTGGGTTGTTTGGCTCTTTACATCTTCCATGGTACACATATAGACATATGTACAGAATGATCTTTGAATTTTCCCCCCAGATCTGGCAAAAAATAAAGCCTCCACCTAAGTCCAGATGCATCTGCCTAGGACCAGCCAAATAAGAATCCACCTACGTCTTTCCCTCTCACCTTTTTCTTCCCTTTTGGTTTGGCATTTACCAGGATGATTAAGGGTAAGAAATACAAGCTAGGTTGGCATGTTCTTAATTGAATGCCCCAGGCAAAAGTAGAAGGGGTTGGGGGGGATAAGGGAGGAAAAGGGGTGCCAATGAAAATGTGTTTAGTATGTCAAGAGCAATGATAAATATTCAGGCCTAATCTAATATTCATAAACTAAATTTTTTTTAAATGCAACCTTTTTTAAACATATTCAAGACTGAAAAATGTTGATAACATAGGATTATTAGTCTGAGGCAAAATTGGGAGGTAGTCATGGTCTGTTTTTTGTTTTTTTTCTCATTTCTGCTACTTCCTTTCCACCTCGTTTCAGTCCCTCCTCGCTCTAACTTGGCAGCCAATGCGTTATTATTATTCCAGTTAAGGATAGGATCTGATTACATAATTCACATATTAGCCCAGCCAGGAGTAGCTTTTGGAGAAAGGACCTCAAGGAGAAGATGTGCTTGCTCAAAAATAATAAATGAGGCTCTCTAATAGCAGCATTATAGGCACTGGGGCAACTGAGTTGGAGAGACAGTTTGCAGTGGGAAGAGAAAGCCTTCCTGAAGCCCTGTAATAATAGGGCATAGGCAGGTCATTCCTCTTAAGGCCCACTATGAACTCATATTATGCAAAAGTTGCGTGATAGAAGTATTATAGGTACAGAGTTTGAGAGCTGGGAGAAATGGCCTTCGAGGGGTATGTATTGAGCATCAGAACACCTCGTTTCAGGCCTAGACCAAAAAACTCTCAGGGACATAACCTGCTTGGTAGGTAGCTGTTTAATGTAGTAATTTGTCATCCTGGTTTTGTGATAGAACAGACAGACCTTGTTATAATAATAGTTATTAAGTAATCAGCAAAACAAAATTGCTTTAATTTTACTTAAGTTTAAAACACAGTTATACATTCTTTAGTGCTTTTAAGAAGGATGTCTTGAAATTGGACAACAGTGACAGTGTTGCAATTTCAAAAAGACTGGTTTCCTGGAAAGACTTACATGAACTGATGCTAAGTGAAGTGATCAGAACCAGGAGAGAACATTGTACACAGAAACAGCAATATTGTGCGATGATCAACTATGATTGACTTAGCTCTTCTCAGCAATACAGTGATCCAAGACAATTCCAAAAGACTCATGATGGAAAATGCTGTCCACATCCAGAGAAAGAACTATGGAGTCTGAATGCAGATCAAAGCACACTCTTTTCACTCTTTTTTAATTTTTTCTTTTTCATGGTTTTTCCCTTTTGTTCTGATTCTTTTTTTCACAACATGACTAATGTGGAAATATGTTTAACATGATTGTGTATGTATAACCTATTTCAGATTACTTGTCTTGGGAAGGGGGGGGAAGGAAAGTAGGAAAGGAGAAGAATTAGGAACTCAAAATCTTATAAAAATGAATGTTGAAAACTATCTTTATGTGGAATTGGGAACAAAATAAAATACTATTAAGTAGGGGGGAAAGGCTGGTTTCACACCAGGGGATAGGTGATGGTGGGATTAAGCTGTGCAGGAAGGGCCAGGAATAGGAATGTGGCTCTCAAGGTGGGGTCTAGCAGGTATGCAAGAGGTTGAGTCCAGGAAAGTTAGCTTAGGATGGGAAGGAATTCACAAGCATCATCTAGGAAGGCAGAGTCCAGGGCAAGAGAGATCAGGAAGGATCATTATGATAGTGAGGCAAGCTCTGCTCTTAGCACCAATGCTATCTGCTTATCACATACAGCTGAGATGTACCCGTAGGTTGTGTGCTGGGTACAAAAAAGACAAAAACAACCACAAAAAATCCCTGCCCTCTGGCAGCTTACATTTTCCAGAATGTAATAATCAATGACAGAGCCGAAGGGTTGGAAGGAAGAGGTTTGTGTCCTACTCCGAGGAAACATCAGAATTCAGAAACTGCCTCAGTAAACCCAGTTATCTCCCTCTGAGTAGGTAACTGGTACTCCTGAGACTGAATTAGCCATTTTACTCTCTTATTTTTTTTTCCAACTGAAACACTTTCTCTCTTGGCTTCAGATTCATTTAGGGAACAAAGGAGACACACAGCTGGGTTCAGATGTCCTTTGGGAAATTAAGAGGAATTTCACGGTGTGGTGAATGTGCAAATACTAAACACTCAAAGACTCATGGAACACTGGAACCAGAAGGCACCTTTAGATGTCATCTAAGCCAATGGCATCAAATTCAAATAGAAACAAGGGCCACTGACCCGTACATAAGGATCCCTGTGGGTTTATATTGACTTGGAAAACCACATGTTGACATTATCTATGTTTGATTACATTTTATTTGTTTTGCTAAAATATATCCCAATTACATTTAAATCTTGTATGGGCCATGGGCCGCATGTCTGGCACCTCTGATCTAAATCAACCCTTTTCAATTTTATAAATGAGGAAACTGAAGTAAAAAGAGTAACTTGTTCAAGGTCACATGGATAACCAGTGGTGAAAACTAGGACTAGAACCTGGATCTCTTGACCAAGTTCAATAAATCCTGTGCTCTTTCTATTAAGTCACAGTGCCACAGGGAACCCACAGCAGAGTGCGTCTCACAGTATCTGTCTGTCTCTTTCTGTAACGTGGAGCCACATGCAAATTTAATCCCCAGAAATCTTTTCCTTTTCTTCCTGCTATAAATACCATTCTTGGAAATTCTTAGCCCTTACTGAATAACTCTTCACTGGACTTTACATTTATAGCACAGGGCTATAGAAAAATGTGTCTATTCTTGATGAAGTCAGCGTTGCAAAGGGAGTTAAGATGTGAGTTCCCCCTCCCCTTTGGCCTTGTATAATCAGTTTCTGGTGATTAGGAGTCCAAGTATTTGTTCAGGGAAAGGAAAATAGAGTATATTTCCCAAGATCACAGGCGCCTCAACCAAGTCAAACATATTAATAATAGGAACAAGGATTGCATCTGTCAAACACACTTAACAGACTCCATCGATCTTTAGCTTAGATCCTTGACCTGGGACTCTAGCATAGTCCACCAAACTCGTTATTTTCCTTTTATAGATTGCCCAAGAGGGAGGTCTAGGATTTCCTCCCAAGGGCTGGTCTGTTCTCCAGTGGTTCCATCTAGGCTGTTTGTGTTGATGGGGGAGACTATCTCTTAACTGTTGTGACTTGAGGCCTAGTGCTCTCACCATAGGCTTTCCTGGCTTAGAGCAAGTCATGCTGTGTTCCACCCCCTTCCCTTATTTATGCCAGTGAAAGTAGATTATGATGAATTTCACGTGCCTACCTGCTTCAAGGGTCTCCTCGCTCTAGTCATTCAGTTACCAAAGTGATTTTCCTAAGGTACAGATCTGACTGTGTCATTACTGTACTCGGTAAATTCTAATGGCTCCCCAAGATCAAATATAAAATGCTTTGTTTGGCTTTTAAAACCCTTCATAAACTGGCTCCTTCCTCCCTTTCCACTATTCTTACACTTCATTCTCTTCCCTGTACTCTGCAGTCCAGGGATGCTGATTTCCATGCACGAAACATGCCATCTCCAGACCCGGGGCATTTTTCAGTGTCTGTGCTCCGTGCCTGGAATTCTCTCCCTCCTTTTCTCTCCCTTCACTCTTCCCTGCCTTCCTTCAAGTCTCTAAAATTCTACCTTCTGCAAGAAGCCTTTCCTCCTCTTCCTTAATGCTAGCTGAGATTACTTCCAATTTACTGTGTGTATGTGTCTGTGTGTGTATACACGTAAATATGTGTGTGTGTGTATGTGTGTATGTGTGTAGTGGGGGTGTGTTCTTACCTCTCTCTATGTGTGTATGTATGTGTGTGTGTGTGTGTTTGTGTATATGTGTGTATATATATATATATCTTGTCTGTACACAGGTATGTTGTTTCCCCATTAGAATGTGAGCTCCTTTTGCATTTCTTTGTATACTTAGCACACTGCCTGGCACGTAATAAATGTTCATGAATAAATGCTTATTGACTGACTAATTGAACTTGGAGGAGACATGAAATCAAAAAAAGGCATCAGGACAGCCTAAGGGGTTTATATGTGTAGAAATAGAAATGTTTATATGAAAAAAGACTAGGTATGCTTGGCCTGGAGAAAGGAAGACTTAGGTGGACCAGAATAGCTGTGGTCACACAGTTGAAGGGCTGGAGAGATTGGACTTGTTCTCTTCAGCCACCAGAGGGCAGAACCAGGAGGGATGGATGAAAGTTGGAAAGAAACAAGTTTAGGCTTGGTGCTTCCTAACGACTCCAAAATCAGAATGGGTCATTTTGAGAGTTGGTGAATTTCCTCCCTTTGGAGGCCTTTCAGATGAGGTTAGGGGACCTCTTGCGGGGTAGAGGTTGGACCAGATGGCTGTTGAGGGCTCTCCCAACTCTCAGAATTCTGTGAAAATGAAATGAGGAGGAACAGTCTCACCCAGTGGTTCCCCACCCCTGGACCTGATTGGCTTCGGTGACAGCTGGGGGTGTTTATAGGCTGATTGCAAAAGATTTAGAACTGTTGCTGTTGTTTTAAGCCACAGCCAATCATATTCTTCTTTTCATGCAC